TTGGTTTATACTGAAGATAAGGATGACATAGATCACGATGAAGATGTAATTGATGACGAATAAAATTAATATTATAATTGTTTTACCTATAAATGTAAATATTTTCAACTATTTATGTAAATGTATAAGAATATATGGTGCCTTTTTATGTTGATAAATTTTTTTGTATTTAATTCTACTTTTTTCAATTTATATCTTATAAATTAGTTTATAAAAACTGCAATGTTATAAAGGGTGATTTTCAAAAGTTGAAAAGTTGCAAAATTTTGGCAAAAAATTGTTTTCACCTATAGTACTCATAACAATTAATTTTTAAGGGTTGAAAATGTATGAATTTGTATTTTAAAGTATAAAAAAATCACTATTTAACTAATCCAAACCAAATTTCACTCATCTTAAGATTTATAATATTATTTTACAATTTTTTAAAATTAGGGGTAGTTTTCATCCCTAAAAACAATCAGGGTTCATCGGCATGACATAAACTATAAAGCAGAGGGTGAGTTGAGCTTAATTCCAAATTTTTATGCAAATCGTTCCAAGGTGAAATCATTTTCTTCGCATTACTAATTTTTTTATATTAATCTCTAATAAGGGTCGCTTTTTAAGGGTTGAAATATGATGGAACTTTATTCAAAAGCACGAAACTATCATTATTTAATTAATTCAAGCCAAATTTTACCCATATTCAAGTTTAATATGTTATTTTATAATTTTTGACAATTACGGGTAGTTTTCACCCCTTAGAACAATCTGGGTTCGTCGACATGACATAAACTATAAAGCAGCGGGTGAATTGAGCTTAAATCCAAATTTTTATCCAAATCGATCCAAGGCGAAATCATTTTTTTAGAATTAGTAATTTTTTTTACATTAATCTCTAACAAGGGTTGCTTTTTAAGGGTTGAAATATGATGGAACTCTATTCAAAAGTATAAAATAATCATTATTTAACTAATTCAAACCAAATCTTACCCATATTCAGGTTTAATATGTTATTTTATAATTTTTGACAATTAGGGGTAGTTTTCACCCCTAAAACCCTTCAGCGCACTTCGGTTTGATATAGATTTTGATCCTTGGGCTATCACCTACCTTCTGTTAAATTTTCAACTGGATACATGCAGGACGAAAAAATTGCGAGGTTTTAACTATTTTCGAGCTTCATTTCCTGAACTATTATCGTTTCCTTAGACAAACCCGTCTTACGCAAACAACATTGTTGTGAGACAGATAGTTGAACGATATTTTATACAATGTGTATACACAGGTATGGATTTATTTTTGTCCGAGTTTTATATTGGTCCACTATTTTAAATGCAGTTCAAACAGACATGTATTAAATTGTATGTTCCGTTTTAATTTGGTTCAATCTGTATATGTATGCTTTATAGATTACCAGAAGGCATTTGACAGAGTAAAACATGACAAATTAATGACTAAAATGCAAGAAATTGAAATTGACAACAAAGATCTTAGAATTATCAGAAACATTTACTACAATCAAAAGGCCAAAATCAAAATAGAAGACCAGTTAACTGATAAAATTGCAATAGAACGTGGAGTACGACAGGGCTGTATTTTGTCTCTATTGTTGTTCAATATTTATTCTGAATGGGTATTTAAGGAAGCTTTAGACGGTTGGGCGAAAGGAATACTAATAAATGGTGAATGGTTGAATAACATTAGATATGCAGATGGCACTATAGTTTTTGCCGATAATCTGAATGATTACAGATGATTTACAGATATTAACAAATCGCATAACAGAAGTTAGCAACAGATACGGACTAGCTCTTAACATAAAGAAAACCAAATTTATGAAAATTAGTAAAAAACCAATACTAAACACTCAACTTCCAATCAACCAACAGAATATCGAAAGAGTCGAGCAATATACATATCTAGGCAAGAATTTAAATAGCCAATGGGACCACTTAACAGAAATTACACAGTGAATAATAAAAGCAAAAGCAGCATTTGTTAGAATGAGAACCATTTTCAACAGTCAAGACATATCATTAAAAACAAAATGCCGTCTATTGAACTGCTACATATTCACAGTTCTGCTCTACGGAATGGAAGCGTGGACACTGACTGTTGCATCTATGAATCGACTCGAAGCTTTCGAAATCTGGTGTTATAGGCGTATCTTACATATATCCTGGATTGACAGAGTTACTAATGTGGAGGTCCTGCGTAGAATGGGGAAAGATCGTCAAAACTAAAAAGTTGGAATATCTAGGACATGTAATGAGAAATCAAGAACGTTACGGCCTTCTCCAGCTGATTCTCCAAGGGAAGGTAAATGGTAAGAGAGGACCGGGAAGAAGACGCATTTCCTGGCTTCAAAATTTACGAAAGTGGTATAACATGACTACCACTGAACTGTTCCGCGCTGCAGTAAACAAAGTAAAGATAGCCGTGATGATCGCCAACATCCGGAACGGATAGGCAGTTTAAGAAGAAGATCTTATTCTACTTTGTTACAGTACTGTCTGTTCTAGATAACTAATTTCAATAAATATGACATATTTCAAAATATACCTCTTCAATAAATATAAATAACTTTTAAATAATATAACATCACATTTACTTTTCAACAAACAATTTACATAAGACCTACATCCCTATTCTAGTTGTTAATATCAATTTTCCCCCAAGAACTATCCCTTTATTTCTTAAATAGTTGAAGTAAAACCGATGATCACCAGTCACCAGTTTACCATAACTGAATTTTAAACATTTAATAACAATCCTTATATCGGGATGTAAGTAATATATATTTAATTTCAATTTTAAATAAATATTTTTTCATTTAATTTTTATTTAATTAATTTAAATTCATACTTAATAAATCGCACACATATAATATTGGCATAATTGCTATATATTTTGTACCAGACATTACCCTAATACGAGTTATTATATTTTCAACATTTAGTTTACCATGTATCACTAGATAATACTTGTAATACTTTGTGTATATATTAAATTGGGTGGTATCCCGTTAATAAATAAATAAAAAAAATAAAATGTATCGTTGACCTGAAGATGCATAGCAAATTTTAGTATGTGAAACCGGTCTGGTGGTAGAATAAATTGATTGTGATTAAGTCTTATTCTTACTGTTTTACCTATTCAAAACATATGTCTTGAATAATTGCTACTAAATATTCATCTAAAAGCAATGAAAAATGAATATAGCCACAAAATAACAGATACAAACTTATTCTATGTCAGAAATAAATTTTGTCTCTCCGAAAATATAGTACATATTTATGTATTTTTATTGAAACGAATTTATTAATAATTAAAGTAAAAAAATAAATGATGACTAGAAACGAATTGATAGAAAGTAGTAAATCGATGTGAATACCATTATTTCATGAAGCTACTCGTGACGCTGTCTCGTAACGCTTCTTCCGTGACGCTGATCTCAGTATTTTACAATAGAGAAAAAGTAATAATAAAGAGAAAGGAAATTGTAAACATGATGGCCCACGTCTGACCACAGACACAGCAACTAAAGAAGAAGATAGAAGAGGCGCAAAAATATGTTACATATGTGGTGCCCTGTATCAGCTACATTAAAGTGTATATAAAATTATAATTTCTCCTTCTCAAAAGCATCCAATTGTAAATTTTTATTCATAAATATTAACAAACGTGAAAGTTATAGCGAAAAATAAGGAAAATAAGGATAGCAATAAGGATGTTAGCTTTTGTGGTTATACTAAAGGAAAGGATTGTATCTTTTAGCATTGTATTTTAGTGAATAAAATATTTTTTTTTACTTCTTAGAAATAGTAATGAACTATGAGGAGGAGTAAAAATATTTACAGAGACTTCTAGAGGAAGCTGACAGTAATAATGAATTGGATTGCAATGATTCTGCGAATAGTTCTGAAGAAGATGAAGTTGAAACACAAAATCCTAATAAAGATAGTGAACAGGATATATCAGAAGTAGAAAATGATGTTTTGCATGAGTCAGAAGCAGAAAATATTTGCTGAAGAATTCCTATTTTTTTTTTGTAAGGATAAAAAAACTAAATGGTGAAAGTATCTTGGTAATAAGCAAATTCGTACACAAGCAGAAAATTTAGTTAAGCATTTACCAGGTGTAAAGGGGGAGTGCTAGAGAGAAATTAATCTTTAGTGATATTTGATGCTGTTTTATAACAGAGCAGATGTTGGAACTTATCGTAGACATAGAGTATAAGTATGTGACTAAGAGAAATGTTTGATATCACATTGAATGTGTAAAATATTGGAAAACCTTATGGTTGTTGTTTTTACTGATTAAGCCAGAAAAGTCGAAAAACAAAGTACAGTTGTTACTTCTGTAATAAATTTATGTGTTAGAACATATAAAGGTATATATGTAGAATGTTCAGAAAAATATTGACTTTTTTTATTTTAAAGTTACATCATATTATTAGAATTGTTTAAATGTGGTTATTATATGTGGATGAATTCATCTTTGGTTAACAAATAAAAGGCAATTTTTTGTTTATAGTAAGATTTTAAGATTTCTTTTCTCGCTTTTTAAAATAGCTGCTTGTTTTTTAAGGAATTATTTTTGTTAAGATAAATGTTCATAAATATAATTTTTAAATAAAACTGTATTTATTTTAATTAAAACATTTATTAAGACCCTTAAGGTAATTAAATTTAAAAAAAATTAAATTGATAGTACTAGGGCATGTTACAGTTACCTTCAATGATTTGTTGATTGTCAAATTTAAATAAAACTGATATTAAAATGCATGTTCTGGTTTCTGATTCGGCTATGCAATTTTTTTCAAGAACTGAAGACCAAGACACAGGTGGATATTTTTCTTCAAATTTTATGATTTTCATGAGGTTTAATCACCCAATATTGCAAATAGGACCTGCGTTTTCACAAATTTGGCGCAATTAAGTTTAATATTTACTGTAAACTTATTAACAGCAAGGTAATATTTTATGAAGAGCAGTACTCTTTTAACTATTTACCTTTATTACGTGTTTCTTTTTCTTCAAATGGTACGAATTTATCTTCATATGGTTCTTTTTCTGTCTTTATAGAGTTCTCTTTTAATACTAAATAATCAAATCCATCATTTGTAGCTTCCCTCTTGGGCTCCTCGTTAATCTCAACTTTAAGGGTATCAAAAAGAGCACCTCCCTCATTGTCTATTTCTTCTTTACATGTATATTCATTTTCATTAACTTCTTGTTTCACTTCCATTTTATTTAACTCGATTTTATTATTTCCACAATTCATCATTTGGACAAAGATTACTTTTGAACACACAATCACTCAGTGTTGCCAGGTCGTAAAAAAATATTGCATGAGAAATAATTCCAGAAATCATGAGATTTAAAAATAAAAGCATGAGATAGGTACGCGCACGCGCACAGTTGTGTGACGTCACTTGACGACAAATCTCACCAGAAATGTTCTATGTTGTATGGAGTTTTGTCAGATAGTATCATAGTATTGTTTATTGTTTTATCGTTTATCTTGTATGTTGACATCGGTTTACTGTGTAACCATCTTTCCGAAGGAGGTTTACTTAAACCATATCCACATTTTCTAATTAAATGTAATGAACTGGACCATATTTTCAACAATTTTAACAGTCATTAAAATTAACTAAGAATTATTTAAAATTGCTAATGGATTTAGGTGTGTTCAGATGTAATGTTAGTAAACGTAAGTTTCAGATGTCAAAACACCTTTTTTTTAGGTGTAAATTATATTTTAAAATTAGACATTTGAATAGATATGTTAAAGAAACATCCAAAGTTACCAGATACCTATTATCAAAGCAAAGAATAGAGACGCTTACTATTATCGTTTTCGTGGATTAACCGACAGGCGACAGGAATAATCAAATTCTTCTTCTCTTATTCATTCTCATACATTATACATTCCTTGTTATTGGTAGTTAACACTTTGTTATCTGTAGTTTACAAATAATGTTTAATAAACCTTATTTTTGTCACTATGTCAATAAGTTGAAAAGCATGAGATTTTGCAATAAAAGCATGAGAGCATGAGATTTGCTTGGAAAACATGAGATCTCATGCTTTTGCATGAGACCTGGCATCACAGCAATCACTACCAGGCTCTTGTCTTATAATCTGTGCTACCAGGGTTGCCAGGTGAAAATTTTTGTCCTCCCTAATTGAACATTAAAAATGTCCCTAGATTGGAATAAATGTATACATGGTTGCCTAATTCTGAATAAAATGATGGGATGTATTGATGGTTGCCTAATATAATAACATGGAATTAAAAAAGGTAGAATTTACCCAAGAACGGTTCACTACATAGGATAGTTCCATCGCCCAAAATTGTCTGTCACTGCAACACGCGGCTGTGACGTAGGCGTGGGGATGATGAGCAATTATCGACCTTATTGTTACTATTAATTTTTATGGAAGTTGAACCTAATTTGAGATTAAAAAGGTTAAAACGAAAAATTCACGTTTTGTTTTTGTAAATAAATGGCAGATAATAAGATTTTTAACAGTACGTAAGACATTCAGACTTATAAATTCTTAATGATCTGTTTTACATGGCAAATAAAATTTATTTTCGAAATGAATGCATTTGCTAGTGTTATAATTAAATTAATAAATGCCAGTTTACTCTCAAAGTAAATATTTCTGGTAAATAAAATCTATAAATCCGTGTTTTACTTATGTAGTCAGAGCACAAATTAATATCCAAAAACATTTGATGATAAATAAAACTATTCAATACTGAACTATTTATTTCATAAACATACATAGGTAAAACAAAACAGTATACAATACTAGGAAACTTTAGAAACATTCCATATGGAACAATTTTATTTAAGGTGGTATGTCACAATGTTAAAATTTATATACTTTTTAGGTACAGTTATCGTCACTATTTCAAAACCAATCTTCAACTTATGACTATGTACGTAAACTGTAAACTTTCTATTTTAATGATATCTAGTTAAAATTTCCAAAGAAAGCAGTAATTTTTTTATAACTGTACTTAAATGAATCAATGTCATAACTTACGTGGTAACGTGCCTAAAAATTGGTATTGTGTAATAATTTTTGAACTTAGGTAGAAAATAACTACTTTAAATGATTAACTATCCAAAAACCTTTATTTTAAGCCAATGTTCGTTATCCCTACTGCCGTAATTTTTAAATTAACTGTACCTAAAGATAAAATTACAAGTAAAAGCTGCAAACTAGGGATTTTGTTGATGTCACCGTTATAAGTTGGCATTTTGCTAGTGAGAAATTAGTTCCGCTATCACTTAATAGATGTGAAAATAAGTTCACGTGTCATTTAGTAGAAGGCAGCAGTGATGTATTAAATAGCGACAAATGCGTGTTTGCCGAATTTAAGAAAAATCTGCAAAACATTGAAACCAATGACGTATAATATATAGACTACGCAGTCCCCTATTCTCGCTATAGAATGAAGTGTCCGAAAGATCTCGGCTCAAGGTTGAAGGTATGTTTATCACAACAGCGGCGTGCTCATTTATATGTTAATGACAATAATTATTTTTTAATTAAAATTAAATATTTATGATTTCTTTTTGTTCCCGTCTATAAGAGAAATAATTATTTTGATAAAATAGTATGCCATTTTACTTAAATAGTAAGTAAATAACTCTCAACATTTTAAAATAAAATTTGCTGTCACACAAAATGGAGAAAATGTTTTCATACGTCCATGATGTTTTCAAACACAAGATCAACTTCGTGTTGCTTCGTAAGAAATCATGAACTTCGTGCATCTTCGTATCAAAACAATAAACAATAACAAAGGTATTCATGTTTTGGACACTTTTTAAAGCGTTCACCGAGTCTATATATTATACGTCATTGATTGAAACCTAGTTTTGTGGTTATGCCAATTGTCTATTTGTTGTGCAGTAACCATGGTAATACGAATCACGTGGTTGTGTTTAGCAAAGCGACCCCTACCAGCTAATATTTTGGCTTCGTTTCGTTTGACTGTCAATTATCAACCATGATTGCATAACGTCACAGTGTTTTAAAAATACAAGTATACCAGTAATTACAGTTTCATTCACGTTTTGGCAAATTTAATTTTTATAGACAAAACAATATAATGTAATCATTGATTAAATTTTGTCGATTAATTATTTCCGTAAATGAAAAAGATTATTGAAATATACTTGAGTCATAATTAGAAATCAGATGAAAATCTGAAATTTTCCAAGTAAAAAACTTCTACTGTTAACATTCGATATGAAAAAAAGTAAACGTATTTTAGATTTTCAAACAATTGCAAATTTCTTTATCAGTTTGGAATAAAGATTTTTGGGTAGATAAAGAATTTAGAATTGTCGTAAATATTTCCAAATGAATGAACGTTTTGTATATTATGTATTAGCAAAAAAAATGTCAAGTAATTAATATGTTTACTTAAAAAAATCCCTAATCAGCACATCCGCTAAGTGCTGGTGTAAGATAATTAAATTTTACGACTTTTCCGTCTGCTGAGAATGTATTGATGAGTATCATGTATCATATTAATAATATGTATTAGAATTGCATACTATACATAATATTTAGTCGAATTTTTACAACCAGAGCAAGCTGTATTATAAAACCACACTTGTGTAATTTAATACAAAAGTAAATTTTTTTGTACTTAAAATTTAATTTTGTATTATTTCGCGAAAGATAACTGCGGGATATGACAGGACTTATACACGAGAAGTTAGTTGTTTTCGCCTATATTAGTGCAAACTTTTTTCCGGCGAATAGTTTTGTTTTTGCCGTGAGGGTCGGCCAAAGTTACCGTCGGAACATGAAATCAGATAGAAAACGCAGAGCGGTACTTCGGATAGTGCATTTACGAAAATTGCTAATGTTTTGGACAGTTTGTTAGCTTTACTTCTAAGTCTTTACTTGTAAAGACTTTAAAGGCTTTACTAACAAGTAAAGTTAAAGGCTTTACTTGTAAGTAAACTACTATGAGCTTTGTGAAGTGGAAAGTGCGGTACTTAAAAGTATATTCGAAGAAGCTTCCGAAGAATAGTTAATCAGTGAGATAGAGGCAACTGATAAATACAGTGCAAGGTACTTTGAGTCATCAAGTGTAAAAGGTAAGCGCAAATTTAAATTACCTCCAATTGAGTTAAAAAATTATTTAGAGTTTGTAGCCTAGGTTCTTTCACTTGAGACCTTAGACAAAACACCTGCTGACAAATTTGCGGTGATATTGTATCCTCGTATTGAGTCACGTTTGCCAGAACATACGATTCGACTATTACATCTTGTTTCCGTGTCCATGGAAAATATCGGAGAAACTGCAGAAGCCATGATTCAATAGCCTTGTTGCCAAGAAAAACGTAAAATTATCTATGCAGGGAACTGATCTACCACCTGATCTTAATTTCTTCTGTCGTTTCTTTACCATTTTCTTCTTCAGGATCGTCAATCAAAATCCTATCAAAAAGTTAGTTCCAGCATTTTTCCAAAGTTGAAGATTTGATCTTGGCCCATAACTCAGCACACCGATAAACAATATGTTTCATTGTTGAACATTTCAGGATTTCATGAACACTTTTGGATTCATTTGTCTCCTGTAATAACAGATGTCTTAAGTATGCTTAAGTATACGTTTTGCGATAAAAATTTGCTTTTTATTGACGAAATTATTGAAACTGTCAGCCGTTTCGGTTAAACGATGTTTCGGTTAAGGTAGGTTTTACTGTATATATATATATATATATATATATATATATATATATATTATATATATATATATATATATATATATATATATATATATATATATACCTATATATATATATATATATATATATATATATATATATATATATATATATATATATATATATAATAGTAATATTTCTGCTCTTTATGATATGATTGATAGTCAACTTCGTTCACTTGAGACCTTAGACAAAACTGCTGACAAGTTAGCGGCGATATTGTATCCTCTTATTAAGTCATGTCTGCCAGAAAATATGATTCGACTATGGCATCTTATGTTTTCGTGTCCATGGAAAATATTGGAAAAAATGCAGAAGTTACAACTTTAAAAACACACTTTAGAGTGGGTTAATGACATTTTTACATAGTGAAGTTTAAAATGAAAAAAAAAATTGATTTAGCAACGGAAGGTTTTCGTTTACTGGCTGAAAATGAATATAAATTCAATAGTCATATTGCCAGATAAATGTAAAATTACAAAGAACTGATCAGTCCTTAGCGTCTGCTGATGGGTTAATAAATTATGAGGTTTACAGGTGTATATTTTTATT